ATCTTGGCACCCCGGGGTGTTGGTTTAGAGTAGGGTTGTTTTGTTCAATTAAGATGGATTCCTTGATTTTTCGTTTGTGTAGATTTACCGTATGTTATTGTTGAGCACGACTAAAATGCTCAACGTCCACGAAATAATTTAAATTGATATATTAATATAAAATTTTCCCGTCACTGGGGACGGGTACTTTTGCTTGTAGAATTATAAACTGATCAAATTAGCTAGATGATCCACCTTTTTTGTGCATTTTTGTACTTCCGCACACATTACGTAACGCCCTGTCAGTTCGTGTATTCATTCGTCTGTCTGTCCATTAGTGCGGACATCTTTAATACATTAATATCTAGACACTTTATAATTCATAATGATGTTTATGATGTTGTTCGGGCCATCTTAAAGCACGCATCCAATAAAATGGGAGATGATATATTCAACTAAAATATGAGCTTTTTGCAATATTATGCTACGTAAACGAGATGTTACGCCTTGTTGATCGTATTAATATAATTATTACTCGGGGAAAAGGCGTGCTTCGCGTACATTTTTTTATGTTGTGGCATTTTGTATTTTAATGAACAAAGTTAATAAAATGTAAAGGCACATTGAGTTATGAATGAATCTGATAGCCGTGTGGGGCGTCTCCATGACTGCGAGGTTAACCCTAAGTGAGTTAACCGTATTCTACAACTTGTGATACCCACCAAACACCTCCAATACAAAAGACACTTTGAATCTAATGATCTGATCAAAAATGACAAACCAATCTACTTATTTTGTAAGAAACATCATATCTAATTACGCTTTCAAAACCCGGGTACTAGGGGCAAGTATTAAAACTCAAAACCCACAAAACATTAACACATAAACCCCCGATATCTGAAATGGGACTCTGAGGGATGAAAGATCCATTCCCCAGATACATTTCCCTTTACAATGCAGTATTATATAAACTCATCCCTACCTCACGCACATGGTGAAGTCCTCCGTACTTCCCTACTCCCAATTTTATTTTTGCGTAGTTTAATGGATTTTAAAAAGCTTCACACGCACGTACATATTACTATTTTAGTTATATGGGTGTTACACCCTTGATATATAGATTTGCATAAATAAATCTTCGTAAAAAAAAAAAAAAAGTCCAAATTATTCGTATTTGTCGCCATACAGGAAACTAAAGTCCTTCGAAAGGTACTGAATCACTTTGTAAACTTGATCAACCTAACTAATTACTTCCCTTTCGTATTTGTCGCCATACAGGAAACTAAAGTCCTTCGAAAGGTACTGAATCACTTTGTAAACTTGATCAACCTAACTAATTACTTCCCTTTCGTATTTGTCGCCATACAGGAAACTAAAGTCCTTCGAAAGGTACTGAATCACTTTGTAAACTTGATCAACCTAACTAATTACTTCCCTTGTATTTGAAATTTGTCTTGTAAATATTCGTATATTTACAAGAGCAAAAAGTGGAGATTCTTTAAAATACTTAACATATTTGCTGCAATAGATGTTTTCAAATTATAAACTGTAACGAAGTTTATGGCAAACAGTTTCGGATTTTACATTTTTTTGCGACATTCTAATGGTTTTAAAAATATAAGCAAGCGTCGATTATTGGATATACATACATGCATTAGTGGCGATCCTAATATAAGCAGGAAATGATATATAATGGTTCACCATAATCTTCAAAAAACAAACAAACAAGATTCTATACGGAAAATAATCTTTATGATCGAAAAGAGAATTTTTCAACGCAATTTAGGTACCAGCTTAAATATAGATTTTATCACAATCACTAAGAAGCCTTGAAGTGTCTAAAATTCTGTTCTTTCTTCCAAAACTAAATTAACATCTTGGATCTGACTTGGCGATATTTTAAAAATACATTAACGTCTTGGATCTGACTTGGCGATATTTTAAAAATAAATTAACATCTTGGATCTGACTTGGCGATATTTTAAAAATACATTAACGTCTTGGATCTGACTTGGCGATATTTTAAAAATAAATTAACGTCTTGGATCTGACTTGGCGATATTTTAAAAATAAATTACGTCTTGGATCTGACTTGGCGACATTTTAAAAATACATTAACGTCTTGGATCTGACTTGACGATATTTTAAAAATAAATTTACATCTTGGATCTGACTTGACGATATTTTAAAAATACATTAACATCTTGGATCTGACTTGGCGATATTTTAAAAATAAATTAACGTCTTGGATCTGACTTGACGATATTTTAAAAATAAATTTACGTCTTGGATCTGACTTGACGATATTTTAAAAATAAATTCTATTAAGTTGGAATGCTAATTGTTAAGTGCGCATGTACTGATATTTAAAGGCGATAAAAGAATTTTGTTAAGTTTAAGTCGAATAATAGTTCCAAATAAGTAATAATATTTTAAGCTGGTTGGACCAAAAATGGCTCCGTTACAAACATCCACGGATAATTGTTGGACCAAAAATGGCTCTGTTACAAACATCCACGGATAATTTTCACCGGGGGAAAAGTGGCCCCTTAACAACTGGATAGCTTCAGTTAAACTTTTTATATGGTTATTGTTTGTGGTTAAACAAAAAAACTACACAACGGTATACCTATGTTGTGCCCACCATGGGTATCTAAACCCATTTTCTAGCGTTATAAATCCATAGAGTTATCGCTGTGCCCCAAGGGAAAGGGCGCACATTATATGATTACTATCGAGGATTATAATATTAAATAATTATTATGTTAGGTATAAAGCCCTTCAAGGTTCTCACCATAATCTCCAAACTGAAACAACTAGCTATGCTAAACAAAACTACTTGTAGTATATGATTCACAGATTAAATCTCATGATCGTAAATGAAACAGATAACTAACAAAGGACACGACAAGAAAAGCGCGACTGGATCATACAATAGCAGATACTCACTAAAGTGCATCTTACTCACCTGTTGGACGTTGACCTTTCTAAGAATTCCATCGTCTCTACTGGACTTATTTTGATTTGCTAAGTGTATACTACCATTTCGATTAAAAGTTTCATGGAAGGGATTGTTGGTTTTCTCGTGTAATTGTTCGTCTCCTGCTTTAACAGACACGGGCTGCGAATCATAGACTGCTTCCTTATTACTGACCACCATACTTTCTAACTCTTTCTCGATCCTTGGAACCGTTATTAATTTCGGTTGTAAATCGCTGGTTACACACTGTGAAAGTACAAGTTGAGGTTTTTTCACAGTAACTTCTTTAACTTGTTCACCCGTAACCGGCGACTTCTGGCAACCGACAGTCGGATCATCTTTATATTGGCCATTAGATATTTGTGTTTTTTTAGGATGTTGGATTTCTTTTTTTACAACAAATTGGCTACCAGCAGTCGATGTCACAGACGAAGACACTGTTGCTGAATCGTTGCTATTACACGTGTGTACTTTAGGAGAATTAGCATGCTGCTGATTGTTGTTAGATCCTCCAAAATTGCTACTGGTATCAGGAGTGGGACAAAGCTGAGAGGAGAGCGCGGCTGCTGTTAGAGATATCCCAATCAGATGTTTAGGATCTTGTGTAAGATACTGCTGAACGTGAGTAAAATCTCCCAAAGTTTGCTTGACACGACGGGACGTTTCATCTTCTTTATTAGGATCAATCTAAAATTGTAAAATATAAACATTAAATAAAAAGCCTGAAAGCTGAATTTTTCCTTATACTGAACAATATAATACTTCAAACATATTCCTATACAAGGATTGATGAAAGTGTACATACAGAAAGAAATAAAAAAAATCCAATAATTCTAAACAAAGAATATACAAATAGCTTACTGAAAACGCTAAGTTTTATTGAAAACTGAATTAGCTATTTTATCAATTTCCATCTGTCATAAAATATGCTTATTCGAGATAGGCTATTTGTATTCATCTATATAGTGAATTTTTAAAAGTACATGGAGCAAAACACCCTGAGATACGCTAGCTGAGGCGAATTCAGCTGCTTAAAGATAACCTATCCAGCGCTGGTATACTGAATGTGTCACAAACCCAGATAGCAGAAATTAGTACTTAGAGCTAGAGATTCTAATATTTAGAGCACGTTGGTAATACAAGTGTCCTCTCCAACATCGCATATTAAAAATAACGGTAAGCATTGTTTCTAAAAAATATTTACTATTTAAAAAGCTGTAATATTTATAATAAAAACTAATGTTTTCTCTTAGTGCAAAAATACACACTGGGCTATCTGTGCAATGTCCACCGCGGGGAATCGAGCCCTGGATTTTAGCGTTTAAGTCCGTAACCTTACGGTGACCTACCGGAGGACTATAAAGAAATACACGTGAAAATAACCGGGGGAAAACCCCGATCCCCGAGTCTTACTGACACATTACATAAATGTATTATATCTGTCTATTTATAAGTTAAGTATTCCATTTGATACATTTAAAACAAAATAAATAAATAAATAAAAAAAACAACGTTAACCCGATTGGTAAAACGGATTGTAATTTTGGATTTATAAGAAAACTTGTATGAACGGATTCTAATTCATAATATTAATACAGCTAAAATATTTAAGTATATTGAAAAATATCATTACTAGTTCTGATGTAACTACTTGAAATTATTTTGATTCGACTGTGTTTTTTAAACGATTTTACAATTTTACATGGCGAAATTTTTCGTTTGGTTCCTTGTAAGCACAAGGCTACATAATCTGTGACGTACCAATTACGGGAATAGAAACTCGATTTTTAGGGTTATATAATGAAATAGATTCACTGTACTGTCTTTAAATTTTTAATTGATAAATTTCTTAAATGAAAATATATGTTTGGGGTTTCACTGAACACCATTGTAAGTTTATATAACGTTTATATTTATAATAACTTATTTTAATGAAACATTTATGCCAGGCCTCGACAAATTCCGGGAGCCAGAGTGATTACAAATTAGATCGTTTAATCGTGCGTAGGAATGTGCTAAATAGAACCTGAATCTAGAACACTTCTGGACTCTTGAAAGTCCGGGACTATTTTCGTGTCCTTTGAGTCCGAAATCGAACTTTGTTTCTAGGATTTTAATGGTGGATTCAACACTTCGTTGTTTTTTTTTTTTTATGTTTTGTTTTTCAGGAATGAATCGCTGTGGTTGTAAAACACATTACTAATTTCGCGCCATTTTGTTTTTCTTCTTCCTCTCAATTCAACCAATCAGTGGGCGAGTTTAGACTCGTACTGGGCCAAAAACAGTTAGCTCGGGCAATACTATCAAGTGGTTGTTATCATGTGCTCGTTAGCATGCACTCGATGCTGTGATTGTAAATAAATATAAATAGCCCCCATTTTGTAGTACAAACAGTAGTGAAGTTAGGTTAGGCACACCAAAAGGCCTTTGCTTGTCGTTCTACAGTGTTGTAGTGACGAGCAGGTTAGAGCTATTCAATTGTTAACAACCTGGTTGGCCTATCAATATCGCTGAATTTTTCTTTTTATTTCATTCATTGCAAGAATCCACGTGAATTTTAGTTATTTAGTCTACTATTTTAATAATTGTACATGATCAAGTTTAGCTTTAATACACGTTATATAATAACATTTAATTCTGAACCCTTTCTTTTTAGTGTAAAACTATGTCTCGTAGCATAACCACAGAACCGACTCGTATATTCCATAACTTTTCTATATCCTAGATCTGAAAATATTTGTTAAGGCCCGATTTAAGCACATGGTAGGTATTCCTTTAGAACCAAGTTTTCTTAGTAAGGTGGCTGATACGTGTTTTGACTATTATTAAAATATTTTTGAAACAGTTTGGTTTGTTATGGATTTCGCGCAAAGCTACACGAGGGCTATCTGCGCTAGACTTTCCTAACTTAGCAGTGTAAGACCAGAGGGAAGGCAGCTAGTCATCACCACCCACCGCCAACTCTTGGGCTACTCTTTTACCAACGAATAGTGGGATTGACCGTAACATTATAACGCCCCCGCGGCTGAAAAGGCGAGCAGGTTTGGTATGACGGGGATTCGAACCCGTGACCCAAATTGCGAGTCGAGCGACCTAACCACCTGGCCATGCCAGGCCCTTTTGAAACAGTGAACAATACCTAGTTCATATGCTTGCACATTCCGTTATATTGACGAGTTAATTTCACTTAATTTAAATTTCTATCCTTTGAATTAGTTCGAAGTAAAAATACGATTTATAATGCACATTTAGTCTTCCACATTATTTTTCTGGAAGAAACGGTACAATAACAAATTAGAATTCAGTTTTATCATCGTTTTACCTCACCCTAGTAATGTGATTTTCTGTCGAATAGTTGTTTCGTAATTAAAAGATATTTAAGTGTTTTTAAAAGCAGTATTTTTTCTAGTTACTGTTAAATTGTTAACATATAAGTTAACATTTAAAGAATATAAAACCTGGAAGTTTATTATTCTTAAAACTCTTCTATAACACGGTCACCTGGTGGTCAGCAGTAAATTTACGGATTTACCATGCTAAAATTCAAGGTTCGATTCTCCACGGTGGGCAGAGTACAGATATTCCAATGCGTGGCTTTATGCTTAAATGGTTCTTATAATAAAACTGTTGACAATGAAAATGTAAGAAATTAAGAAATCAATTGAAAATCGGACCTTAAATGAAAATGGAACCACCCCTCCTTTATTGAGCAAAGTTTTTAACAAAAAATGCTTAACACGGAGTAATAGATGTTGTGTGTCTGAAACACATTAACAGGTTTAAATTAGTTTTCTTAAAATTGACATACTCACAAACACAGTCTCATCTTTAACTAAAAACAAAAACGTTACTAGTAATGTGAAAACAACGCCAAACTTCAAAAGCCAAAATGAGATGGTTAAAAATTCCCCCTTTCTCTCCAGCACACAATCGTTCCACTGATTACAAATCAAAATTCCTTCTAAAGCTTGTATTCCTTGCATACGTAATATAACATATCCTATTGATACCGTGGAACACATGAAGTCATTAAAAATAAACTTAAAATAACACAATTAAAATCGAATGAAACAAATGTGGTTTACCCTAATAATAAACATGGATGCTAGCGAAATGACGGATTTATTTAAAATATTCGTTAGCGGCTCATTTCCAGATATAACATTTCAGGATGTATCACTACTGTTGCTACGATGTCAAGGTTTGGTTAGTACCGGCTGTGACCACGTTTCATCCATACGCGTGTGTAGAAACACGATAACGATAAAAAAAAAACGTAAAGAACTACTAATCTAGTTACACGTACGGCTGGTTAAGTACTCTCTCTCGTCTTATGAGCGTTCACATATTCTAACGCGAAAAACGTTTACATTTTAACATACTTTCTCGTTCGACGATTATCTAGAACATAATAAAATGTTTAAATATGAATCCTTCGAAAATGATAAACCTAGTTTTAGTTTGGAGGTGATCATTAAAATTAATCAAACTACATTAGTAAAAAAAAACGTTTTATGCTAATTAATCACGACCCTTCTTTTTTTTTTTTGTTCTGGCTCTAAATCTCTTCGTACTGCTCTTATAAATGAATGAATGAATGGGTTGTGACATTCAAGGTTAAAAATGTAGACAGAAATTAAAAGTAACAGGAAACTTTGTTTTTCAGAATTTTGGAGGAATTTTGATATTTGGGTAATAATGTTGGAATGAAAAAAAACACCTTTACTCCCCAGATAATAATAATAATAAAATAAAAACTTAATTTCAGCTAACGTTTCGTCATTGTGGCTTCAAAACTAATAGACAAGAACTAAAATCGTAAATAGTATTCAAAGTAAAAAAAATGTTTTTAATTGTGTGCCAGTTTTAACGTTGAATATTAGTTATGATTTTAACTTTATACACAAGTGCCAAAATACAGTAATTAAGACAAGAACTATTACATACAAGAAAGAATGGTGTCATCTGTCAGTTGATGAAAATGATTACACCTTGGATAGTATATCCAGGTAATAAAACTTATCAATCCAAAACCAGCAAATGCTAATACTCATTTTGCTTTACTAGCTTGTAGTAATTGTGTTGATACAAGAGTCATAGCACGTGAACATTAAGTGTAAAATAACGGCATTGTGCGGATTGGTATTTTAAACCTGAACAGCACTCTGTGCAACATGTAAAGGTCTTTGACCTTACCAGGTTCCAGTTGTAACCATCCCTAATTTATAGCTACTGATCAGCAACATTCATTGAACAACACGGTGCTTTAATACTGTGTCCGGACAGGCGTGGCCTGTAGCGATTATAATGCAAGGCCGCGAATTTTAAGTTCGAACCGCGATATGTCTTTGAACACCCACCTCCCTGCAGTTTCAGCTTTGGGGGAGTTATAACTTTGGCAGTCAGCCCCTCTGTTCGTTTAAGAGTATCTCAGTGGGTAGCAGTTTCTTGTGTTCGACCTCCCTTCCAAATGTCAACTTGCCAATTTTGCCTTTTCCAACAACAAAAATCAAGCTACACAAACCACTATCTTAGCTTAACGTTAGAAACAAGAATCAACTGAAAAAGCCTTTTCTACGATGTGAAACTTTACCGATCTTCTTTTTTTTGCAACCAGCACTGAACACTGTATTCAAATTTATCACTAATGCTTATCTGCGTTAAAGAAAGTGACACATGGCATCAAGGTCACCCACAAGTGGCTGAAACTACTGATGCACATTCAACAGAAGTCTCATGGTTTTGATTTGTGTATGATGGTCACGAGTGCACTTCCAGTAAACATCCAGACATCTAGGGGTGAATCGCTGGAGTAAACAAGTACATTATATAAACTCTTCACCTACTGTAACTACTAAAGTGTATGCATACTCAATAAATAATCATTTTTAAAGTATTACAATTTTTTTTTGGCAAATATTAAATGTGATGTGGGGATGGCAATGCTAAAAATCATAAAAAAAATCCCTATATAAATAGCCATTAAATAGTGAGTCAATCTTACAAGCTTATATAAGAATAGTGGGATTGACCGTGACATTATAACGCCCCCACAGCTGGAAGGGCGAGCATGTTTGGTGGGACGGGGATTCGAACCCGCGACCCACAGATTGGGAGTCGAGCACCCTAACCATCCGACCATGCCGGGGCAGCATTAACTGTTTATTCGCTGTATTGCTGAAGGACAAACTAAGACGGTCTGTAATTGTTGCTTTGTCTTGAAGTAAAACCACTGGCTATCTGCTATGTCCACCGCAGGGAATGAACCCCGGATTTGGTGTTATTATTTCGCAAACTTACCGTTGTCCCTCCAGGTGAACAGTCTGTACTGTTTCGGTTACTAAGACATACTGAGTTTCAGTTACCTTTACCAAAACCACATCTTGCTTGATTTTTACAGTTTTCAACGTTTTAGTTACCTTTACCAAAGAAAACTGTAAAAATCAAGCAAAATGTGGTAACGTTTTAGTTACCTTTACCAAAGAAAACTGTAAAAATCAAGCAAGATGTGGTAACGTTTTAGTTACCTTTACCAAAGAAAACTGTAAAAATCAAGCAAGATGTGGTAATGTTTTATTTACCTTTACCAAAGAAAACTGTAAAATCAAGCAAGATGTGGTAACAATAGATTCCTTTCTATATATACAGAGTGGCCCCAAAAAATGTACCCATCCTTTAAGTTGTGCAACTGATGTGAATCGATTCTAAAAGTTTTATTTGTATTTCAAATAATATTGGAGAATGTCCTAAAAATAAACCCAAAACCACTGACGAATTCAAGCAACATATAAATGCTCTCCATCCAATCAGAATTGACGTCATGATTGTTTATATGCTGGTAGAGCCTAGTTTAAGCATCTCAATCAATGATTCAGCAGTGCATGTACAGTTAATATTAATAATGATATGTTGCTTGCTTCTAGATTCATTTACTATAGTCATGCGAGCATTCGAAATGTTCGTACATTTTGGGGGCCACAATGTATGTACGTATATTTACACTTAAGATATACAGAAACTTTTTTTCTTTTGTAATTGATAAACAGTGCTTTGGTAAACAATTCCGGAGCAATCAAATATTATATAGTCTTTCTGTTGTATCGTTAACACACATTTTCATCTGTTATAAAACTTTACGTCATGTTCATATTTCTGACAACAAATTACCGTGTACATTAGGCTCCTATAAACACCATTGTTTGATTTATATTACAACAACTTCTAACCGGTTTGTTCTCAAGGCCTAGAAAGCCCTATTTGTGGTGTCACTCCTACTAAGTGTTTACACTTTAACAATCCATGTGATGCAAGGTTGCAGCACAAGCTTATAAAAAAAACTGAAAAAGAAAACTAGGCAAATGATGTTTTAATGATACCACTAACTACCCTATCGTTTTCGATAATTAAAGTCTCTGAAGTTAAACAGATATATCTACAATACTACCTAGTTCACCCGTTCTGAAGGGCTCATAAGTAGGGCAGTTATACGTATCTTATACTTCCCCTTATTTTGTAAAATTTGCGTTTTGAATCTCATGGCCTTAAGTATCTTGATTAACAATGCCAATATCTTCTCTCTCTCTCTCACAGAATAACTATATTACGAACGTTGGATATCGGAATAAGAAGGATAAAAAAGATTATCAATTTATTCCTGGTTCTTTAGATATTTCTTGGGCAATATATTACCTGTATAAAGAAATATTGTGTAACCTCAGGAACATAACCAGGTTTCCGAGGCTTTTCTGCTTCAGAATCTGGCTTCGTTTCGTTAAAAATATGGCTTTATTAGCTAGGTCAACTTAGTTTTCGTTCCAAGTAATTAATACGTAGTCTACTTCAGGAAATATTAACAGAAAATTACTATTATTAAGATACAGCTTTTAAAAAGTTAGAACCAAACGAAAAATGTCTTCAAATCTTTTGTTTTGGCAAACTGCCATACACGAAACTTACTGTGAGCTTTACTATCTATGAATATGAACATTTTGTTTCGAAATGTTATGAACAAATTTTGGTAAAATAGTAGAAAGTAATAAAAACCATCAGTCTCAGACTAAAGGTTTATCTTATAATGTAGCATCAGTTATTAACCATGTGTTAGTCCTAGCTCTATCGTTCATAACCAATGCAACACTGCATTTTAGTGTAGGATTATAACAGTTGTAGAAAATACAACTTGATCACCGAAATGGCTACCACTACATCGTTACCTTAATTAACAAAAGACAGTACCCGATAAGGTATATGACATTTGTACAATATGTCGGATATCGATTAGCATCACCAAAGAAAACAATGATTTTATGGAACAGAAGCGCGTTTAGTTGGTATTAATGTATTATTACAATTGGTAATTTTCGTACACTATGCATGAACTTTCGTTATCACATATATATATTAGAAACACCAACCTATAATGTGCTGTGCCATCTTGTGCTTTGATGACATCCTGTATATGATGTTGTATTGACTTCACTAGTTTAGAAGGTAGCTGCTCCAATCTTTAACCATTCCGACATAAGAGTTAACAGTAATGGACTATTCCTTCCGACATCTCGTCCTTAAATGTTCAATGGATTTTCGATAGTATTGAGATAAGACACCCGAGTAGATGTAGGAAGTCCATATCATGCTCAGAGGACCAATCACGAATGATTTTATCTCTACTACGGCTAATGGCATTATCCTCTTGGAAGTAACCATCTCCGTTTGGAAAAAGTATATCATTGTGGGGTGTACCTAATCAACCAGGCTATTCAAATATCCAGAGCCGAGATATGGCCATTCTGAGAAACATATAAATGAGCCCCGCAGAACCTTATTCAGTAATGACTATGCATGATGGCTCCATAACTTTATTGAGTTGTCTACACATTCTAAACCTACCATCACTGCAGAATAATGTGGTTCATCTGACGACATCACACATTTCCATTGGTCAACAGTCCAATCACGATGATCTAGACACAATTGGAGAGTTTCTTCCGATTGTTGGCACATACAAAGTACTTTACATAAGGGCCCTGGGGGCACATTCTTGGAATGGTTAATATCATGCAGCATCATTCTAACGGACATGAATGTTCCTGAACCATTTTCAAAGTTATCAGTCAGTTCACACACACAGATGAACGTCTGTTAGCCCGAACAACTCTCGATATTTCCCTCTTATCCCTGTTTCATAGCTCGGTTTCCCTGATTAGATAAGATTATTGGTTCTGATAACCATCACAGTATAGACTCCTGAGACAATGGTTTTTTGATATACACGTCATCTAGACCATCCTTGCAATTGAAGCGCCTGTCCATTAAGCCTCAACAATAACATCTCGTTCAAAACTTGATAAATCTTTCTCATTTTAGCGCCAAATGATAATCATATAATTTACCATCTGTATTTATTTTTCCCTGGTAGTTTTATTTCTCTAGCATGTAAATACCTACTTTGTATAATCATGAAGTAAGGATCGATCTATTCTATAGGTTGGGATTCCGTTAGTTTAGATGGTGAATGTGTTCTAACTTAAAAAAAGAGTTCTTCCATTAAAACGGACTAAAGAAAGGGCACTTGACTGCACTTCGATGGTTCTCTGATACAATCAAAAAAAAACACACTGGAGCAATCAAACAAGAGTCAGGAAATAACATAATGGTGATTAGTAAATATAATCAAGTTAAATATGTTTAGTTAACTTTCATCTTTTTTTTTTAAACGAAAACGCAATTAACTTTTAGAAACTATAGTTAAACAGTAACGTCCAAGTAAACCCTAATCCCTATTTACATGTACGTTTACTGAACTACTTAATGAAATTAATCAACATTTAGTTGAAAGATTCAGTGATTAATTTTTACTGAAAAATGACCAAAGTTAACGGAATGGTTAAGTAGCTTTAAGAATTTAGTCGATTACGTTTTGGAAACCATAGGTTAAACGTAAATATCAAAGTAAACAATAATCTCTACTTACATACTAAACTATTTGAAGAAATTCAAAGGCTTTTGACGTGATTTCACTAAAATACTCGTTATTTTTCCACTACACGTGGCCAGCAAGCAAAATAATAGATTGAGTTGTATTAAATCTGATCAATAACAGAGTTTCACACTACTTACATACTAAACGTATTTGAAGAAATTCAA